TGTCCTGGAACTCGCTCTGAAGACCAGGCTGGCCTCGAGCTCACAGAGATCCGCCTGCCTCTGCCTCCCGAGTGCTGGGATTAAAGCATGCTCACTGCCACCTGGCTTCTACCCATCCCTTAATGACGGTGGGATAGAAGTTGCGCTGCTTCTGGGGACCTGTGTGTCCCTTGGGTCCCCAGCGTTATGAAGCTAGGTGAATGCTTGCTTGTGACGGTTGTACCTTGTTGATGGGTGTTCCCTGTGTGACTGCAGGAGACTCCTGCCTGCTCCCCGCTTGACTTGAAGTCTGTCGTCTCTGACCCCTGCCTGCTCCTCGCTTGACTTGAAGTCTGTCGTCTCTGACAGGAGGGCAGGCGTCCCTGCAGCTGCTTGGGCACCTACTTTCCTATCACGCACAAACAATTCTCTTTTTTTCAATAAAGCAAGTATGTCACCTTTGCCTTTTAAATCTAGGAGTATGGCATTAACAAACATCCTCATGTTGAAACCCTGAAAGAAACCTGTTGTTCATGTATACTGGCATTTTAATGCGCTAAAAACCAACCTGATATTTTGCTCTGCCCCTTTATAAACCATCGTTACTGGGTGTTTTGTGTGTTAACTTGACGCAAACTTAGAGACATCAGAGGAAGCAGCCTCAGCTGTGAAAATGCTTTGATGAGATCCAGCTGTAAGGCATTTTCTCACTTAGTGATCAGTGTGGGAGCCCCCAGCCCATGGTGGGTGGGGCCATCCCTGGGCTGGTGGTCCTGAGTTCTATAAGACAGCAGGCTGAGCAAGCCATGGTAAGCAGCTCCTGCCTCCCGGATCCTGCCGTGTGTGAGTTCCTGTCCTGACTTCCTTTATTGATGAACAGTGATGTGGAAGTGTAAACCGAATAATCCCTTTTCTCCCCAAGTTATTTGGTCGTGGAGTTTTGTCACAGCAATAGAAACCCTAAGACAACCATCCTCAATTTGGGGCTCTTCTGGTCATAGCTAAACTTAATCTTAAAAGATCAGTTTTGTTATTGGGGTCGTGCTTGATTCACCAAATTAACCAGGAGATGCCCCATCATGTTGTGTGACTTGTAACGGTTTAAACGGTCTAATGACACTGTAAAACTCTCTGACATGTTTTAGTGTGGTTTCTCTTGACACTTGTTTGCTGTTTCTTCAGTGGGCTATTGCTATATTAAGGTAGTCTACCTTCTCTAGAGCCCCTTTGCATTTTATTGAATCTCATACATTTATTATCAGGGAAGGAGGTAATGTTATAATTTCTAAACATTTTAAATCACATTTGTTGTATCTGTGTGCATGTGTGGGGTTGCAAACGAGCCACAGAGCACATGTGCAGGTCAGAGGACGATTTCCATAGTCGCCGTCCCCTCCACCACGTGGTCCTGCCATCCAACATCCATTTTCAGGCCTGGCAGCAAGTACTTTGCTCACTGACCTGTCTTGTCTTGGAGTCCACGGTGGCATTTTATTAGGCGTTCCTCATCTCCAGTTGTGCCGAAGAATTACGTGTTTGCCCTCCTACTTTGTGTTTTGTTAAAGATATGCTAGTCAAACTTGTGGTTTGTTTGTTTTTCTGAGACAGGTTTCTCTGTGTAGCCCTGGCCGTCCTAGGACTTAGTATGTAGACCTTGAACTCACAGAGATCACCCCTCTGCCTCCCAAGTTGCAGGGATTAAAGGTGTGTGCAACCACCACTGGGTTGAAGTAGTCTTTTTAAAGATCTAACTCAAGAACTTCTATGAACAGAAATACTGGGGATTCTGTTATTTTTTTTTATTTTGTCGATTCTTTCTCACTTAGATTTGTTTTCTAGATACTTTAGTATCTAGCTCACTAGTTTTTATTCTTTCTGATGCAACAACAGCAGTGTAGCTATGAATTTCCCTCTAATTACAGCACTGGCCACACTACAAAGCTTTCCTACATACATTCACTTTCATCAAAGAAGGCTTGGTTTCTCTTTGAAAAGTGTTCTGAAATTTACAAGCAGTTGTATTTATTTTTAGTTTGGGTAGTAATTTCTAATTTTATTGCACTATAGAACTCAGTTTGGGCAATTCCTACTAAAATTTTGAGATTCGTGGAGCAGGGGTATAACAGAATTTTCCAGAATGGCCATGGATTTAAAGTATACGTATTTGCCATAAGGTACAAAGGAATGTGAGGGTTTTTTGTTGCCGTTTTTAAAAACTGAGCTATACATTTTCCCCTATTCCCCTTGTCTCCTCCCCTCTCCCCTTCCACCCTCCCCTGCCCCCTGTGCTCCCATTTTACTCGGGAGATCTTGTCTTTTCCCCCCTCCTAGGTGGGTCCATGTCTGTCTCTCTTAGTGACCTCTTTGTTTCCTAGATTCTCTGGGGTGGTGGCCTGTAGGCTGGTTGTCCTTTTCTTCATGCCTAATATCTACTTATGAGTGAGTACACATTACATGTGTCTTTCTGGGTCTCTGTTACCTCATTCAGGATTTTTTTTTTCTAATTCCATCCATTTGTCTGCAAATTTCAACATGTCATTGTTTTTTACTGCTGAGTAGTACTCCATTGTGTAAATGTACCACATTTTCCTTATCCATTCTTCGACTGAGGGGCATCTGGGTTGTTTACAGGTTCTGGCTATTACGAATAATGCTGCTGTGAACATGGCTGAGCAGATGTCCTTGTGGTGTGAGTGGGAATGTGCGATTTTCTTTTTTCTTTATTTTATTTTATTTTTTTGGTTTTTACGAGACAGGGTTTGGGAATATGCGATTTTTAACTTCACATTTGGATTTGGATTTTCTTAACACACGGTTGAAGACTGTTTCAAGTCTGTTCCTTCCCGCCGTCTTCCACAGCTGGTCTGAGTCATCCTTCTCTTGTGCGCTGTGCACAGTAGCTGTAGCTGCTACCCATTCTCCAGAGGTTGCCCCACTGGGGCTGGCCCCAGTCCTTGAAGACAGGTTGGGGGTCTGGTCTTGGACCCAGGGGAGCGATAACGACCCCTGAGAACAGAGGTCATTGATGGGCATTGGCTGTAACCTGCCCCGTCTGCAGTCACTTCTTTGTGGCTGCTTCCCCCAGAGACTTCACCTTTAGCATGTAGCTCAGCAAGATGCTAAGGAGAAATGACAGCTGTTGCCGACCACAGGCAAACCGTTTAGACAGCCAGACCCTTGTCTTTGGGCACGCAGGTGCTCGCCAAAATCAGGTAACATCCTGCAGACACAGGCACAAACTGTCTTCGCACTCTACTAGGTACTTACAGTCTCCAAAGCAGAAATTATTATTATTTTTTGGTGTGCTGTATACAAGATATCAGGACCAGCTGGGTGTGGGGTGAAAACCCCGACTGTCAGAACCCGCTGATGGGGATGGCCACTGCGGCATTCCTGATGCTCACTGAGGAGGCCATCAGGAGCCCTCCATAGCTGTGAGTCCTGCTCTCCTCCCCCTCTGCAGAGCATTGTGTGACTGCCACCAACAGCTCTGCTTTCACACGCACGGTGAACACGCTTCTGTTTCTCAGGGAATGTTCTAGCCACTCAGGTAGCCTCCCCCCCCGGACACACACCATTTCCTCCTTCTGCTGCGACAGGCATGCTGGGACCACAGGACACTTAGATGGAAGCAGCCTTGCTTGGCAGCGTTTTCATCCATGGCTGTTCTGCTTCCAGCTTTACCTAGAACCCCAAGTGAGTGAGCGTCCATTGAGTTTGCCACGAAACAGATTGTGTCACATAAAAATTCACCGTGTCTTCTTGAAAGCCAGCTGGGAATCACGAAGAGCTGTTTCAGTTGTCATTCTCGACGTGCTCAGCGCTCTCACTGCAGCAACGACTGTGCCATAATTGTGGGGCGATGCTGGGTTAGTTACCAACACTACCTGTAGCTTGTGTAAGTCGTAGCTACCCGCATAGCTGTGAAGTAGGAAGAATAAAACTCTCTTCGTGGAGAAAGCTGCTGTGCTGAAAGCATGCTAGTGTTCTGGAAGGCTCTGACACACCCTGGTGTTTTCATGGTACCTGAAGGAGGGAGTCGGAGCCGACGTGTGTCTCAGCTGGGGCTTGCCCGGTGTCAGCCCTAACACCGATAGCTGCCAATGCAGGCCTTGTCCTCATGTCTTCACCTTGATGGCGTTGCTCAAAACAGGCAGTCAGACTGCTTGGCTCCTAACGCCTGACGCAGCAAGTGGGAAGCTGTTACTGCCTCAGTGACACCCAGACGAAGCCAGGAAACAGCTGCTTGAGGTTCTCCTCTTTATAACCCACAGGGATATAAAGCGACCGCCTGCATGCCTCTGGGCAGAGCAGACTGCATCAGCCGCCCAGGGTGAAAGACTTCAGGCTGAGAGCACTTTAGGGGACCATCACCACAGTGCCATGGCCGAGAGTGCAGAGCCAGGGACACACAGGGTAGATGAGCAATGCTGTCATGACAAAACAGTCTGGGTGCCAGCTGGGAACCCAACTCCTTGGTACCAACAGTGGCAGCGTGGAGGTAGCCCCACTTTGGTCAGCGTCACCAGAAATGCTAAGGTCATGGGCAGTGGCAGGGTGGGTCCAGACCCTGCCAGTCCTCCTTCGGAGGGTGGTTGAGAGTGCTACACACGTCAGCAACCGTCCCAACTCGGCTCGCCCTGCTCTGGCAAGGCGTGGAAGCACGTAGCAGCACGCTGGCCTGGAGCCCCACCCCATCTGCAAAATAATTAGGTTCCCCTCTCTTCATCTCCATCCCCGTTCACACTCTTGGTCTACTTGAGAGAATCCAGCAACCTTGAGCCCTGGACACTCGCCTCCAGCAGTAAGCTGCTGTCCGAGTCAGCCAAACACATCAGTAACACGATAGAAACTCAGGTCAAGTGGTGATGGGAAATGGCCAGCTTGAGGCCGCGGCCGGACTGCTCCTGACTAAATGTAACCCTAGCAGGGCAGCCGCAGGTGGTCATTACTGAGGAGCATGCTCTCCGTCTTTCTAAAGGGCAACTAAGAAATGGTGCAAGAATATGCACTCCACACCATTTTAAAAATCACTTAGCATTCTTTATTCATTGAAAAAAAAAAACTATGTCATTAAAGATGACTTTTCCTTGTAAACTGACCAGAAAGTGTGGCCTCTATTTTCGGCTACTTGATTGTTTAAATACATCAAGGATAGATAAGTATTATGATGTAAGCATAAAAAAGAGACAGATCAAAAATACAGCGTCTTGGAACCCACTGTCTGGTGGCTCTGTTATGTCTCCTCAGTCTCCCGGGGAGGCCCGGTTCCGTGTCAGCCGTCACAGGACAATGGCAGTGCAGGCAGCTGCCCCTCAGAAGCTGTGAAGGCAGGCCAGCCAGTGCAGAGTGCTCCCTGACCATGACCAACAGAACAGCAGCATGGGAGGGAAGGAAGCATTACAACACACTCTCCACGCAGTCTGCGGTACAGTGTGACGCGAGGGCAGACTCTTCACGTCACAACCCTGGGTCAAAGCACAGGTCCCTCGGGTCAGGGCCAGGCCAAGTCCTTCCTCAGCGTGGTCTCCTGTCACTCAGAAGTTACCTAGCAACAAGCAGCCATCCATATGTGTTCTTCCCTTGGGCACCCTCCTTGCCTTTAAGTGTTCTCTGGGAATATGGCAGATTTAAGTGTGCGTGCCGCTCAACAGGGCACAAGAACTCCAGCATTCACAGGTTCCCTCACTCCTGGGAGAACAAGGACTAGCTGTTGTTGCTTTCTTGATCCCTAAAGCCATCTGAAGTTCTAGTGAGACATTATCAAGGTGAAGTCACGGTCACTCCTTGGAGGGTTCCACAGGTTCAATCTGTGAGCCTGCTGACTGCCCACCCTTTGTTGTAGGAGTTGGAGAGGGGTTCAGTAAAGAGAGCTGCTTTACTGAACCTAAAAAGAAACAGGCACATCTGGGGCTGTGGGAAATGTTTTCTGTGATCTTGCAACGCACATGAGGAAATCCTGTTACATTCCAGAGGAAAGGCTGAGGCTAGGCACCTAAAGGAAACAAGCAATGAGCAGAAATCATGAAAATATAGACCCCCAGGGGTGGGGCCTCAGCAGCCTGTGTGATGTCCATGTGTGGGCAGATGATCACATAGATGTCCACGTGTGAACAGATGATCACATAGATGTCCACGTGTGAACAGATGATCACATAGATGTCCACGTGTGAACAGATGACCACATAGATGTCCACGTGTGGGCAGATGACCGCACAGTTGTCCACATGTGAACAGATGATCAGATAGATGTCCACGTGTGGACAGATGATCACATAGATGTCCACGTGTGGGCAGATGACCACATAGATGTCCACGTGTGAACAGATGACCAGACAGATGTCCACGTGTGAACAGATGATCACATAGATGTCCACGTGTGGGCAGATGACCGCATAGATGTCCACGTGTGAACAGATGATCAGACAGATGTCTACGTGTGAACAGATGATCACATAGATGTCCACGTGTGGGCAGATGACCGCATAGATGTCCACGTGGCCACCCTGGCTGTCCCCTTCCTGCAGCTGGACTATGTCCGGCAGAGCTTCAGCGGGAAGTTCTCTGTGATGAGGTGGTCAGCATGAAGAAGGACCACCACGTTGACCTCAAACTCTGCAGGGAAGAGAGAGATGGTCACTCTAACAGTGAGGAGGCAATGTCCAGGTGCCGCTTGGAATTCTGTCCTTAACTCCCATTCAGTGTCTCCCTGCACTTTCTGTAGGACCAGTGAGACCATGCTGATATGTGACTCCACTATAAACTTTCTACTCAGCTGGTGGGCCAGCATCTGGTTTAGCTACACCTGTACCTCCAGCGCTTGAGAAGCAGAGGCAGGAGGGAGGCAGGGAGCTTGAGGCCAGCCTGAGCTACAGAGCCAGTCCCAGTATGGTTTATGGTATGGGCAGAGACACCAGCACCACACTACAGAAACTCCACTCTGGGCAGGGCTCTGTGGTGTATATACTCATACACAGACACATAGATATAATTAAAAATAATAAATTACATAAACATGGAGAAGTGTTTTCCCAGGGTAAGTCACCAGGGGTCACAGCGGCCACCACATCTGTGGAAGGTGGCCAGTGCAGAAAACAACATGGCAGCAGTATCCACGCTGGCTTTACGGGTGTGCAAAACGCTGCAGTTACAGAGTTACGGAAATCTGTACACGTTTCACAGAGTCACTGAGGCCAGCAGGGTCAGGTTCACTAGAGAGGCCACCGTGTGTAGCTGTAAAATTATACCCCAAGCGCAGTGGGAAAGCCCCAGAATGTTGGAGATGCAAGGACTGAGAAACTTCTGCCAAGGGTAGCTGTGGCCAAGAAAAGTTGGCCATGCAGCCATTACTGCTGTATGCAGTAGAACTGGATGGGTGGGGCGACCCGAGGCTACAGGAACCCCAGGTGCTAGACATGGGGACAAGACTTGATGTTTGACTTGCTGGGTTAGTATTGCTTTGGTTTTTTTTTTTTTTTGCTTTGGCCCTGTTGCTGCTCCCTTTTCTGGATGGGAATGTGTTTTTCTATGCCTGTGCTGAAAGTACGCTGGTTGTCCTTTGATCTTACAAGGACTCACAGCTGCGTCTCAGAAGAAACTTTGGTCTTTAGACCTCTGTTAAACTGAAGATCTTGGGGACTTTTTGTTTTGTTTTTCGAGACAGGGTTTTTCTGTATTGTTTTGGAGGCTGTTCTGGAACTCGCTCTGTAGTCCTGGCTGACCTCAAACTCACAGAGATCCACCTGCCTCTGCCTCCCAAGTGCCGGGATTAAAGGCCTGCGCCACCAACACCTGGTTCATGGGACTTTTTAAGTTGAATGAATGCTGTTGTTGTAAGATGATGTGTTCTGGTGTAAGCTGTCAGAGTGGACTTGTGGTTAATCTTTATGGAGTCATGTAAGAGGCATCTCTCTTGGTATATCTTCAAGGGAATTTCTGGAGATGTTTAGCTGAGGAGGGGAGATCTGCCTTGAATGTGGGCGGCACCATTCATGGGATGGGTCTTAGCCTGGATAAAAAGAAAACCACCAAGAGAGCAAACCTGATGGCAGCATTCATCTCTGTCGTCCGGTCCACCTAGGTGTCAGCAGGCAGCCTCCAGTAGTGGCCTTCCCACCGCAATGGGCCAAACTCCCGAGCTGGGACCCACAATAAGCCCAGCTCCCTTCACTGTCCCTCCTCAGCATTTAGTCGCACACTGACAACTCTGAAGGCTTCTATAGACCCATGGTGTCTTTGAAGGAGGCTTTCAATAGGTGGGCTTGCTGAGCCAAAGGGCTGAACGCTGTGGGCTGTGACCACTGCAACCCTGTGGACAACGCCCTTCCCACAGGCCCCCGGGCCAGGCTGCTCACCCACTTTGAAGTTAGTGGTCTCCAGGGTTGGGCAGGTGAACAGTCGGGGGAAGACCATGTACAGAGGGACAGAAAGACCTCTACAAATGTCCCCATCAGCGATTTGGATATTCTGGATCTCTGTGGCATCACGGGCATAGCCTTCTGCACACCCTGGGGAAAGAGGAAACACCATGGGGTCAGGACACCATGACACCAAAGCAAACTGGTCAACAAACCCTTGTAGTACCGTACCAAACAGCAACAACACATTTACCTACTTCTCCAGTTTGTCCTTCAGGACTAGGAATCCCCCCACACACACACACTTCTCAATTCCTTAATCATCATCACGCTGGCCTTAAGAGCTCCCAAGACTCCCAGTGCTGGGGAACCTAATGCCCCATGTGTATTCCAATGACCACACGCAAGTGTGAGTAGGTCACGACGGTCACCAGAATAGCGGTGAGGTCCCAGGCACACCTGCTCTGTTACAATATGTTCTGCACCACGTTAGGACTACAGGGAGGGATGGCTTAGTGGCTGACAACATTTTCTGTTCTCATCGAGGACCCACATAAGGCAGGTCACGATTGCCTCTTAACTGCAGTTCTAAGGGATCCAGTGCTCCTTCACAGGCCCACAGGTACCTACACACGAGCCACAGACACACTAGAGCAGGGGACACATGACGGCTTCTGTTACATTACAACAGGTGAGGCACAGTTAGCCAGCCTGGGAGAGCTCCATATTATAACAGCCCTCTCCTGAGACAACCCCACAACCCGTCATGAAGACAGTCACCCCCCGAAAGCTCTCACTCAACACTGCTGTGCCGGGGGCGAGGCTCCCAATACACAACTCTCGGGAAGCACATCTATAGCTATTCACATGAATTTCCAGGCAGCCTAAGCCTAGGAACACGGTCATCAACTCAGCAAAACGAGGCTGCCATCTTCCCGATGTGTTGCTTCAGGCCCTTGCTTCACTGTGTTCCACGCAGGGTCTAGGAACCTCATGTACCACTCCCAGGAATCGAGGGGGAGCATTTTTAATCCCGCACCGCCTGACTCCCGGGTACCAGTCCACACCTGAATCAGAACCTTTGAGGACACAGCTTAGGCGTGCCCTCACTAGCAAGCTCCAGGGGAATGGGCACAAGTGAGCTAGAGACCATCTGCTCCCCGGAGCTTCCCGTTGTGACCGCACAGCGCCCCACTCCTCTCAGTGCCGCCCGAGGGGACACGACAGACTCACAGCCTTACCACAGGTCTCCACCCGGACCAGCTGAAGCTCTATGCTCCGGATGGCGGCGTCTGAGTGCTCCACCAGCAGCTCTCCTGTCAGGGGCTGTGTGATGGCACAGTTGGTGGAGTTCAGATGGCCTCTGATGAGGAACTTGGGGAGTGAGGCCCTCTATGACACACAGACATCAGGAACAAAAGGGAAAGAGCCATTGGTTATCACAGTTGCTTGCCTACAAATAAGAACTGAAAACCAAGTTGGGTAATTGTTCTAGAAACTATGCACACCCTGCTGTACAAAACAAGAAAGAAAAACAGTGTCACCATCTTTCAGTGGGCACCCACTCCTAAGGCGCCCTTCATCCACATAAAGGACAAACAGACATGACAGATCTGGAGAATCTTCACCAGGCAACAAGACAAAAAAAATGTTAAAAGCCTGAGAAGTTAACAAGAGTGTTTAAGGACAACCACCCCATCAACCCCAGCCTGAAAAATAAAGAAAAAGAAAAAAGAAAAGAAAAAAAAGATTTAAGAAAAAAGAAAAAGGTAGTCAGTTTTACAATGTTCCCAATTAGGAAGGTTTGAAGCCAATTATTTTCATTTCAAGGCTACTGAAAGAGTGGTGTTTCTCAATGCCTGATGAAAAGCTTTGGGACCCTTTTCTGTAGACAGGAAGCTGGCCAAGGGCAGCTGGCAGTGGCTCTGAAGGAAATAGCTGGGCAGCCACTGTAGGAGTCCTCATCTCTGTCAGCTCCCACTATCCGGCTCCAGGAGAAGCAACATAAGCCACGAATTTAAAATCATTCAGAATTGGTTATTTCCCAGGGGTATAATTAAAATTTTCTGGTATCTACACTAAAAATTTTAACAGTATATCCAAAATGTCATCATTTCTGCGCATGATCAATGAGAAATTTGACTGCTCGCCTGGCATGCATGGAGCTCTGGCTTTAGTCTGGAGTACCACAAACCAGCGTGGAGCACACGCCTGCCGTTCTAGCCCTCAAGTGGAGGCAACAGGACGAGAAGATCAAGGTCACCCTCCACTAAATAACTCAAGGGCAATCTGGGACACGAGACTGTCTCAGAAACACAAAGTATAAGCGATGCTTTGCATTCTCCTATTCAAACTGAGTCTTCGAGACCCGGATGCCACGCGCAGCTCACTTCCTGTCTTAAGTCAGCCAGCCACATCTTGAGTGGCCGCGGTCACACAGGGCTGGTGGCCACCAGATGGGTGCAGCTCTGAACACCAGCAATCTTTACTTGCCAAATCCACTAGAATGTGGGTGGGAGACAGAGGTTGAATCTGTTTAGATAGGTAGATGACAGCAGAGGCTCACACAGGTTTCAGGCAGCCTTGAAAGAGCAACCTCCAGTGCCGTCCTCAAGAGTCCTTCAGACACTCGTGTCCCTCTCCCCTCTCCCCAGCAGTGATGGTGTAAGGTGCACTGCACTTCTGTGAGCCTCATCTCTGCCTCCTGTGCTTTCTGTAGACTTCTTAGTCTACCCCCCAGTTCCTTTTTACTTAGGAAAGGAAAACCACCAGTGACATTTTACAAATAATGATGTGTTATACAAGTTATTCAAAATAAAGCATGTGCCTGGCGGTGGTGGCGCACGCCTTTAATCCCAGCACCCAGGAGGCAGAGGCAGGCAGATCTCTGTGAGTTCCAGACCAGCCTGGTCTACAGAGTGAGTTCCAGGACAGCCAGAACTATTTCACAGAGAAACCCTGTCTTGAAAAACCCAAAGAAAGAAACAAACAAACAAATACATAGAAATAAAATAAAGCCACACTTTTCTCATTTTCCAATACTAAGATGAATGTTTCTGTGTGACAAACACTGTTCACCCAGAAGAAAGGCTACCTACATACAGCTGCCACTCCCTGTATGACACTTTCGACAAAATTCAGTGTCCACTTAGATTCGGGAGAACAGTCTCACCAGGGCTGGCGGGAGACAATCTTATTAATAAATCTACACCAAGAACCAACATGTGAAGAACATGAAAGCGGGGGAGCCCTGAGGAGGTGTGTAGGGGTAGGGCGAGGGTGTTGTCTATAGTAGAAGGGGAGGGAGCGGCACAGGTCCCAAGAAAATACTGCACAAGGCGTACAAGAGTAGGGCACGGAAATCTGCCTGGCCCTAGGACACAATGGTCACTGCCTTCCAGAACCTTCTGAAAGGGGACATCAGTCACGACTCGTGTCCCAGATCTCCCGGACACGCCTTCAACCCGGTTATGAGCACGAGCAAAATGCAGACTTGAGTAAAGAAGCTGAGTCCTAGCCAGAAAAGAGCTGTGGACAGCGCTGCTTGCTCTGAGGACATTTTCTGGAAGTAGAAGGCTGGCCACAGTGGTCCAGAAGAGGCCTGCTGGGAGCTGCCACCAAGATCCCGGCATCCTTGGTTCTCACGTTAAGAAATCTGCTGGAGCTGCGCCAACACCTGTGTCCTTGCTGTCACCCCCACGAGCAGTTCTCTGACTGGAATGCCGGTGAGAGACTGCAGACCGAGCCTCAGTGAGGAGAGACAGGGCCCAGAGAAAGAAAGGAGCGGGCGTGGGGGCAGGAGTAGTGACGCTCAGGCAGGAAGACAGACCAGCCAGGGGCCTGCAGACCGGGTGACGCTGGAGAAGGCCAGCCTGGGCAACACAGTGAGGCATCATCATTTCACAAAAACGGGTCAAAAGCACATGGGGAGCCTTCAAAAGTGCTGTCCTTTCTTCCCCCTTGGTAATGACTGAGCTCAATATGAAATAAATTTGAAAACACCCTTGGGTACAAACGCCATCAGAAACCTCTTGTCACTGACATCTCAATTCTCAACTAAGAACAACTGGGCAGTTAACCGGTCACTGGGTCATGTTACTATGGGAGCCACACACACACGAGAGTGAGGAGTGAGTACCTCTTTGACGTTCTGCAAGGTTTCCGGGGTGATCGTGAAGTCAACAGGACTTGGGGTCAGCTTCCCCTTCTGAGGCTGAAATGGAGGTAAAACCAGTCAGAGAGGTGAGGATGGTGGACAGAGCAGCTTTCCCCCTCTGACTCAAGGAATGTCAGTGCAGGAAGCAAACTGGAAGAAATCAGGGATTTGATTCCAAACAAACAACCCAGGTCCACCCTCCCCCAGAACAGTGTCATCACCAGGGCCCAGATGTCTCAACCTGAGACCTTCCTGCCCACTGTGTGCAGAGTTGAACCACACTGGCTAGTGCTGTCTGCCATTAGCTAAATAGCTGTCCACCTAGAAGGAACATTCCAGAATCTATTCACAGCCAGGCTACACGGAAGCCTGCCTGGCACCACACCTAAGGGCCAGGATCCAAAAGGTCAGCAAGACCCAAGAACCACTCACTTCCCAAAGACTTATCCCAGAGTGCGCTTTTCAATACCCTCTAGATGGATGGGTTCACGTGTTCCTAGAATGTTCTTCCTGCTGCCGAGAGAACACTGAACTTGTAAACCACATGCCAGAGTGAACACAGCCTCTCTCTGAGGCCTCCACTGACAGCTCTCTTTTCTTTTCTTTACCTATTTTGAGACAAAGTCTCCCTACACAGTCCTAACTGTCTTGAACCTCACGGTGTAGACCAGGCTGGCTTTGAAGTCACAGAGATCTCCCTGGCTCTGCCTCCCTCATGTTAGGATTAAAGGCGTGCGCCACACCTGGCCTTCCTGGTTTTTTTGAGACAGTATCTCACCATTCTGTCGACAGCACAGGGCGGCTCTGAGCACACTATGTAGCCCAGGCTAATCTGGATTCCTGGTGACCACCCAGCTTCCAGCCTTGGCAGCACTAGAGTTACAAATATCCAGTTACTGGAGGCCCTGTGGTGACACAGCACCATGAGCAGAGACGGGCCCTGGGGAATGCAGCCACTGCCCTGGGCCTCCTCACCCTAGTCACGGGGGAGGGGCTTCAGAGAGGCCCTGGGCTGAGTTGAGACTCTGCTGGTCACAAAATGTAAGTCTGTTTCAGGACATAAAGCCCTAACAGGTGAGGGCCGCTGATGAAGGCTCTGAGGGACTTGTCATGAGCTCCCCCAAGTGGCTGCAGCAGCAGTGGCGGGGGTCCAGCTACCCAAGATGGCATGGACGGGCAGTCTTAAAAAATCTGTACTGCAAACTACGGGCTAAAAGTGCGAGGACGAGAAAGAGACAGGCCTGCGCCTCCCGATGTTCTCACAGGGCACCGAGCGCCAAGCACGAGAGCCGCCCGTGTCCGCTGTGTTTGCCACGGCAACTGGGGGTCAGGTGGGTGCTCCCTTTGCAGAGAGGGACAGTGAGGATGCTCGCTGAGGCTGTAAAACGGTGTTTCCGGGTGAGGTGAGACCCAGAAGGTGGTGTCACAGAGGCAGTGCCCACGCTGCTGCTCAGGTCTCCACTGTCTCATCCAGACCCAGCTTGCTGGCTTGTCAGCAGTGCTACCACAGCTCACGACAGCCGAGGGCCCCGAGGGAAGGCTTACAGCAGAGTGAACGATGAATTCACAGGTCTTGCTCAGGTCCTTGGCCAACAGGGACCGCCGCATGTCACAGCGCAGTGTGTACTAGAGGAGAAGCAGGAGAGAGACATCATCTCAGGAGACGTTGTTCTTATCTAGACACAACATCCAAAGTGATGAGCAGTCGACACATTTTCAGGACACTTTGGCCAATGGGTGTGTCTCACACAGTTGATATACGCCAGAGGAACTAGTGTGCAGTTAAGGCATCTCTAAACCAAACACGGGCAGCTGCCCCCACGGGCAGCGTGTAGGAGGTAAGAACCAGGCAGCAGAGCACTGGGGGAGCAGGCTCCATGCAGCTGTCCCCCTCTGTGTGTGCCCAGACAAACCACAACCCGAGTGCAGCTTCCCTCTGCAGCCCCAGGGATAGGTTGACTGTGAGGGGGTCCACGAGCCCCACGTGAACACCCAGGAGCAGCCTCGGGCGCCTCCCAAGTACCACACTGGATGCTAAGTGTGGGGCACCAGACTCAAGTTGGGCCACACTGTCCTGAAGAGTTCTTCATCTACAAACAAGGAGCCACGGGTGATCCATCGGATGAGTAAAGAAAACAAAACAGGACTACAGGGAATCCCAAAAACCATTGCTGTGTGTTAAAGAAGAAATAAAGATGGTATTTTTAAAGATTAGAAATTCAGAGACGCAGAAGTAAGAAGGCTGATATTGCCGGGCGTTGGTGGCGCACGCCTTTAATCCCAGCACTCGGGAGGCAGAGGCAGGCAGATCTCTGTGAGTTCAAGGCCAGCCTGGTCTACAAAGTGAGTTCCAGGACAGCCTCCAAAGCCACAGAGAAACCCTGTCTCGAAAAACCAAAAAAAAAAAAAAGAAAAAGAAAAAGAAGGCTGATATTAAGTTGCACATCCAGACACCACAGAGCCAGCCTCCTCTCCCAGCCCTGTCCGCTGGTCTCCAGTCAGAGCCTCTTGTGAACTGACGGGCAGGAGGGAGGGGCTCAGGAGACAGCAGCTTTGCCTTGCTTGTTCCTTTCTTGAGTGAGTGGTGGTTTTTCTGAGCTTGTCACTGCCAGAGTCCCTGCTGTGAGGATCTCTAGTCCTTCCCAGGAACCAGGTACTGCAGTGTGGTCCCTACTGCTTACTTGGTTGCAGCACAAAAACTGTGGCCTTAAATCCCTGGCCATGAGCTGAGGCAGCTCAGAAACCACCTTAGCGCTAAACTTTGGGAGCCAGGGTGTGGCCAAGAGGCACTTGCTTAATGTGTGCCTAGCTCTGGGTCCCTTCTCAGCATAACTTAGACCCAGACCCTCATACAACTGTTCAGTCAGGTTACTTGTTGCTTTAATCTTGTAGGAAAAACTTTTGAATTGTGTCAAAAGTAATGTTCATAGCCAAGACTGTATGCATAGCTATGAATCTTCTAGGATGCTACACTCTCAAAGAGCAACCTTCCCACATGAAATAAGTTCCTGTATATTTAGGTACTGCATGGAGATAAAACATTTTTATAAGAATCATCTCTTGCCTATAAGGATCTAAAAATGTATTTATGTGTATATGAAGTGTATATATATATATTCTCTAGGGAGACTGCAATCTGTTCTCCCCAAACCAGACAAGCTCACTTAGGAATGGTGTGTGTGTGTGTGTGTGTGTGTGTGTGTGTGTGTGTGTGTCTGGACTGAAGTGAGCCTCTCTCTCTCTGGCTTAGCTCGTCCCATTCTTTTCCCAGCCCTTCAACAGTTCAGAAGAGCTAGGTAAAGCCAGAACTATTTTTTCCTTTTTTGGTTTTTCAAGACAGGGTTTCTCTGTATTGTTTTGGAGGCTGTCCTGGAACTCGCTCGGTAGACCAGGCTGGCCTTGAATTTACAGAGATCTGACTGCCTCTGCCTCCCGAGTGCTGGGATTAAAGGCATGTGCCAGCCCAAGCCAGAACCTTTCTAAAGGACTCGAGGAAACAATTTTCTTTTTACTGAGTCATAGGCCCAGAAGATGTAAGCTACACCTGTCCCGTGGCCACCAGCTTTCTCTAACAAGGGACAAGATATCCAGGGGACAAAGCCAGTACACAAGAAAGCCAAGCTCAAACATTCTGGGGCCCTGGTATCCAATCTGGCCAAGCCACTCCACTCCCCTGGAATTTAGGCCAATTTAAGTTCACTCTACAATCTGTGAAAGGAAGGTGTGAGTCACAGACATCCACTTTGGTCTCTATACATGAAGGGCGAGACCAGTCATTTGTAAATGAGTGGATCATGTGATTTGTTGGGGCATAGCAAGGTGAACAAAGAGCAACTTCTCTGTGTGCTGTAGGAGGGGTCAAGTCCTCCCTGTCTTCTGTTTCAGTCAACTTACAGTACTGCTATTCGAGCTGTTGCAAGGGGTGAAGCTCGGTGGTTAAAAGCACTGGCTGCTCCTGCAAAGGACCTGGATTTGATTCCAGTGGCCACATGGTGGCTCACAACCATCTCTGTTTAGCTCGGGGACTTGATGCCCTCCATGGTCACTGCTTACATATGGTGCACAGACACATGCAGGGAAACACCCACACATGAATGAATGTTTTAAAAAAGAGTTGTTGCTTGTGCACGCCTTTAACCCCAGCACTCCAGAGGCAGATGCAAGTGGAGCTCTGTGAGCCGAGGCCAGCCTGGTCTATATATGACTTCCAAACCACAAAGAACCAAAGCAGTTGTTAAAGAGCTACTATCATGTGCTCATCACTCTCGGCTACTCACTGTGTGTGACATTCTGGTGACAGGCCATTTTCTCACTGACCTCCTAGCAGCAAGGTCAGCCTCCAAAGGCAGGCTGCCGGAGGAGGCTCACAGAGGCGGGATTTGAACTGACCCCTGCCCACTGCCAAAACCTATACCAAATCCTTGCACAACATGATGGCAGGGATGTAACTGGAGCCCAGATCTGCGCTGCTGTCAACCCTGGTCTTCTTACTTGTAACTAGGTTTCCCAGTCCTATGGGGTGAGCGTGTGGGGAGAGCCACAGAGGACAGCAGGAGGAGGCCAGGCTTGAGCAAAGTCACCAAAGGTTGGATTTCGCTAAGGTTCAGATTTATGTGTTTGTGTGTGGGTGTCTACATGTGAATATGCACATGTGAAGGGGGACGCTCATGGAGGCCAGAGGCAGGGGATTCCCCTGGAGCCAGAGCTACAGGAGGCTGCGGTGCTAGGAACTGAGGTCTGCAAGAGAGTACGGGTGCTTTTCACCACTGAACCATCTGACCAACGCACGCACGCACCACACACGCACCACACACGCACACGCGTTATACAAGAGCAGTACGGGTGCGTCTCACCACTGAACCATCTGTCCAACGCACGCTCGCACACACGCACACGCGTTATTTTTAACTATGAAAAGGGAGACTAGAATTTTTATAAATTAATTCTGAATATGAGATTTTAGCAGACATCTTAAGCAGTGAGAAACTCTTTACAATTTTTTTTCCGAGACAGGGTTTCTCTGTATTGTTTTGGATCCTGTCCTGGAACTCGCTCTGTAGACCAGGTTGGCCTTGAACTCACAGAGATCCGCCTGTCTCTGCCTCCCGAGTGCTGGGATTAAAGGCGTGCGCCACCACCGCCCGGCGCATCTTTACAATTTTTAAAGACACTTGGGGCTATGTACAGTTCCATTGTAGCTGAGGTTAACCCTGAAGCGGGGAAAGTCTGATGACCAAGGAAAAAGTTGGCATCATTAGCTGTGCTAGAGAACCAGTCACACATTAACACTCTTGCGTCTAAGAGGCCCAGTACATGCACTCATTCTACAGTTGTATTCTTAGCAGAATCTGGAAAAGGAGGAGACTTCCAATCTAACTTTAAATAAATCAGTTTTTTCTCTCATGTGACAATAAACAAAGGAGACTATGACCAGAAAAAGTGACCTCATTTCAATGGGTTTCCTTTTCAATTTCCTTTTGTGTGGTGAGCACCACGGTGTACCTGCAGAAGTCACAGGACAACTTCTACCATGCAACGCTTGGAGAAAGAACTCAGGCCTGGCAGCAGGCATCATTACCTGCTGAGCCGTGCAGTGCCAGCCCCTCACTCGGTTTTCTTTTTTTTAATTATGTGTATGTGTGCTGTGTGTCTTTGGTTATATACATATGTGTTCAGGTGCCCACAGAGAGGCATCAGATCCCCTGGAGCCGAGTTCCAGGTAGCTGTGGACAGCCCACGTGGGTGCTATAAACCAAACTGGGTCTCTCAAAGAGCGGTGCCCAGTGCTGACTGCTGGGCGCTCTCCAGCACCACTGCTGCTTCTTAGACTTACTTTATGTGTGTGCATTCGTGTGCCAGCGCCCGTGCCTGTGTGCTGCTGCTTCAGCCGGTGTGACAGAGGGCGCCGAAAACATTTTCTTCATGGGAAAGCAGCTTTTGCACCAGGACACACCAAGACTAAACCTTAAGTTAACTCTCCCAAATGTTTTGAAAATAATTTTTTTTAATGTGCTAGGTTTTTCAGCAAGTGAGTGGCACTGACTAAGTGCAAATGTGATGAACTTAAACTAGACCAAGAAACCAAGCGCCTCTCTAATTCCCTGCCTTTCTGTGCATCCTGAGACTTCAGGGCTTTTCACTCAGCACGAGCAGACCACACAGAGGTATCTTTCTTCGCTCTGAATGAAGGAAGCGGCTCTTTCCCTGGCTGGGTCACGACTGGGCTCTGCTCCTGAGACAATAGCAACTGTGAAAGCCATCCCTCACCAGTAGAGGTAGACAGGAAGTCATAAATCCACTTCCCCTCATTTACAAGGTTTCCTCAGTGAAGAGTACAGCCTGTGTTGGAGCGGCAGCCTTTGGTATTACACAAAGAGACAGTCATAAGAATAAAACAGACAAGTTACTGCGGGTGCCAGGAAGAGACTGAAGCAGTTCTGTGCCCCTGACGGTGCCACTGTGGCCTGAGGAAAATCCAGAGAAACAAAGGAACTTTCAGGAAGCATTTATAACCATGGTTCCTACTCATCACAGGGTCACCGGGGCTTAGGGTAACAACCGCTGCAGCATGGGTGAGGCTCAGGCTTTAATGTCTAGCACAGCAAAAACAGTAACTCACACAAGATGGAGTTAGCAGGACAGAACGAGAAGTCGACACAGCATGAGCACTGTTAGAGCCTTGAGCTCAGCTACCTCAGTGAAGGAGAGCAGGCAAGCTGGGCTTCGGCAGAAAAACAAATGCATCATGTCTGGGGCGGGAACTCACCTGGATGTTCACAAACACGCCGTGGTAGGTCTCGTACAGGACTTTGCTGCCCTTCACATGCAGAGGAAACTCAAAGGGAATCTCGGTCTTGCCGCTGGGCAGCTTTCCTGGCTTCAGCACGTCTATAGTACTGCTGAGGATCTGGATGGGCTGCAACACAAGTCCACGTCAGCCTCAGCGCAGTCACGCTGGCCGCACCAGGGAACACGCACACAGTCATGCTAGCACCAGGGGACACGCACACACAGTCACGCTAGCCGCACCTGGGGACACGCACACACAGTCACACTAGCCGCACCAGGGGACACGCACACACCGTCCCGCTGGCAGCACCACTGCTCCTGGTGTGTCGGCAGCTCGGGGCGGGGCTGGACACAGACAACAAGCTGCTTCTGGGTTTTAAGTCTGCACGGTAATGGTTCATTTTCTCACTACACTTAGTTAATGTAGTGTGCGTGCGTGCGTGCGTGCGTGTGTGTGTGTGTGTGTGATGCACACATGCCACCAGCTTACATGCTAGCAGGACACAGAAGTGACTCACACTGACTTCAGGCTGCTCTGTAAGAACTGAAACTGTGAGGGACACGAACCCTGCCAAGTGACCACAGCTACCAAGGCATGCGGCAAATACACAGCATCCGTCGGCACAGTGCGCCCACGGCAACAGTGCGCCCACGACAACAGTGCGCCCACGGCAACAGTGCCGTGCACAGCAACAGGGCTGCGCTGGCTCTTACCTTCACGGAATTGTAAAAGGCTTCGAACACGCCCACACTTTTGGCACTGAGCTGCAGGTTTACAGTCCCTTCCATTGTCAAGGACACACCCTGGTGCTGGACGGAGTCCTTGCTAGTGATGACCACCACACCAGAGAGCATTTCCTGGGGACAAGAGACAGCGTCCAGTCAGAACAGCACACCCCTGAGCAACCCGGTTGAGATCCACACACTCTGGAGATGTCCCCGCCCGACAACAGTGATGCCTGGACGGAGAACGCACTGGGTCCTCCCCCAATGCCGCCCTCCAGAGGCATCTTCGGTCCTGGCTGTTAAGGTCCCACCTGAAGTCTGGATCAGAAATACTGCCGGCAAACGGCACCGTGATGGCGGCACAGAGCTGGTGACAACAAATGAAACCTCCAGAGTGGGACAATGCAGATGGTCAGCCCACTCCGACTCTGCTGCTTACTTTATTCCTGTTCTCCAGGGAAGACAGTTTACCGTGTCATGTGCTCTGTGGGATTGCGGGGGAAGTGTGTACCTGTGTCTGGTAAACGTACTAAGTATGTTTTTCATTACCTGCTCCAGAGCCCTGAGATTGACTGAAAAGGGGCCAGCAGGACGGCACAGCGGGTAAGACACTTGCTGCCGAGCTCATGGCCTGAGTTCAATCCCTGGGACCCACGTGATGGATGGGAGAAACATGACTTCCACAAGACATTCTCCGACCTCCACATACAACCACAGAAATAACATTTTCTGAATGATCAGTATTATCTCTACTCTCATCAGAATCCCAGGAGAACTTTATGTTTGTAGAACATAAAAAATACCATAAGCAGATTTACATGAAAGTGCCTCTGAAATAATTTAGCTTCTAAATTTAATTTTAAAATAATTCTGGCCTGGCCTTTAATCCCAGCACTCGGGAGGCAGAGGCGGATCTCTGAGTTCGAGGCCAGCCTGGTCTACAGAGCAAGTTCCAGGACAGCCAGGGCTACACAGAGAAACCCTGTCTTGAAAAATAAAACTTATATACTATGAAATTCCTGTTAAAAACCACTCTTACCAGCCGGGCGTTGGTGGCGCACGCCTTTAATCCCAGCACTCGGGAGGCAGAGGCAGGCGGATCTCTGTGAGTTCGAGGCCAGCCTGGTCTACAGAACGAGTTCCAGGACAGCCTCCAAAGCCACAGAGAAACCCTGTCTCGAAAAACCAAAAAAAAAAAAAAAAAAAAAAACCACTCTTACCTAGACGTTCAACAGAAAGGGGAAAAAATGCATAGCTCCGATTAGCAGCCATGCCTTACCCCAGACATCAGACAGGGGCCTCGGCTGAGGAAACAGGACTTCAGAGGGGAATCCCTTTCCAGTTGAGGATGGCAACAGACCTGGGCATCTTACGAGAAACTCCAGAGGTGTATGGTATCTGGAGAAGCGCTGTGGCCCTGTCATATGAAGATGACCCCTGACCCACAAAAGCTGAGGTAACAAGGGTTAGGGAGAATGCAGCTTCCTGGTGCTCGTATGCAGAAAACATAGGTGGGCAGAATGTTCTAGGCTCTATGTAGGAATGTGAACCTGTGTTCTCCATCAAAGCAGGCAGCAAGGCGCCTCACTGACCCTGAGAAAAACTCAACCCTTCTTGAGGCATATGGCCAGAGTGTCCCCCCTGCTCTGGAGACACTGGAGGTGGACCAGGACCTCACTGCCCAGCCTTAACCAGATCCCCACAGATGAGCCTGGGTGTGCACACAGTGCAAGCTTCCTGTGCACCCCTGGCCTTGTGACCTTCACAGCAAAAACAAGCATCACCTTTGACCAAGAAGACACTTTCCCAACCTTGTCAACAAAACATAAGAGGCCACTCCAGACTGTGTAATGACTTTGTTTCCTGCAATAAAATGGTCAAACCATAGTTTGTACTAAGAAACAGACACAGCCGGGGGGGCAGCAGGATGCACCTGGCCTGCCTAACAGCCGAGGTTTAGACGTGTACCAGAACATTCCGTGTGTACACGTTACATTTTGCTACCATTCTTCTGTCGGTAGGCACACAGGCCGATTGCACACCTTAGCTGTCATGACTAGGGCTGTAAGAAACATTTTCAAAGTTGTACACTGCCCCACTTACTGGAGTGCTGGGGTGCTCTCTGGATGTGCTTTTGTGTACATGCTTGTGAAGAAGCTGAGAAGCTGGCAGATGTGACGGCAGAGCTGAAGGGATGAGGATGGGCAGAGGGGTCACTGTTACCTCTCTTGGAATGTGACTGCTTGAGCCATAAGAACTGGTGACCTATTACCGCAGTCAACTTCTCATTGGGGGGGGGGGTTGAGACAGGGTTTCTCTGTGGCTGTGGAGGCTGTCCTGGAACTAGCTCAGTAGACCGGGCTGGTCTCAAACTCACGGAGGTCTCCCTGTCTCTGCCTCCAGAGTCCTGGGATTAAAGGTGTGAGTCAACACCACCTGTGGACAATTCATTTTTCAGTAAAATTCCAGGATGGGACACCTCTAAGACCTGAGTGCACGGTCTCTTAGGTCTGGGTAACGGAAAGCGGGCACGCTCTCCGAAGACACAGCCTTCTCCTTGGACCCACAGGCAAGGGAGTGACACACTCCTCGAGACTTGGGCCGTGCTCCCTCCATCCTGCCAAGAGTGCTGGCAGCACGATGAACAGCTGTCAAAGTTCACTGCTGTTCTGAGCCCTCTGCCTTCCCTCCTGACATCCTCACAGCCACCAGGATTCTTCTGATGTCCGGTGGGGAAAAGGGTCACTAAGAGTTAACTAACAAGTGACCAAACCACAATTAAGTCACTGTGCTGGGTGGGGAAAATGAGGGAGGGAGGCCATGAACGACTTCTACTTCCTAGGAACGAGCGCTCGGCCCCAGTCTGGCTAGAAAACGCCCCCAGAACTGAGAGGATTCCATTCCCACCAGCACCAACAGCGGCATTTCCACCTTGTTTGCAAAGTAGGACAAAGCCATCGGGTGTTTCTCACACAAGTGACAGCCAGTGTGATATGTATCTACCGGAGCTCTGCGAGGAAGGGTTTTGAGGAGAACACGCTGTTGTCATGCATCAACAAAAGTGAGGTGCGGGGCTGGAGGGGCCCAGCAAGCAGACCTCATTAACTCCACTGCGGGACGGGTCTCAACATGGAGGGTCCCTGCAGGTACCTGCACTCACACGCGCGCGCACGCACTTTAACAACACAACAGAAATACTCTACGTGACATAGTGCTACCCACTTTGGCACTTTCATTTGCTTATCTTCACCCGAGAACTTCCGCATAACAGCTGTAGCAATTTTACTCCCATCTGTCCAGACGTCCTTCTGTGGATGGGTGCAGAGACTGGGGTTCATCCATACAGGGTTAGACAGCTCAGCAATAAAAAGGTAAGAACTACGCTAGGGGGTAACGGTACGCGCCGAAATCCCAAAACTGGGGCGAGGGGGTGTTGTGGGCCTGAGGCCAGTGTGGGCTCCGTAGTTCAGGGTTCTTCATGCACAGAAGCAGTTCCCCGGGACCCTTTCTCTACGGGTCTGCATGAACAACGTGTGGCGGGGCATTACTCAGTGAAAGCTCTCACTTTTCCTCACGTGGGACTCTTCAGTGTTACCACTTTACAGCTACAATGCAACTGTGAGAAGAACAGCCTAGAAACAGCTGATCCCGAAAATGCGGAGGAAAGGAGAACGCATCTGTAGCCACCTGCGTTTGGCAAGCAGTGCAGAGGCCTGAGTGTACACAACACACCCCAGCAGGCGGCTCTACCAAGGGATGCCGTGACGCAACAACCATGGACAGTAAACAGAAGAGTGGCTGCATCTGAACGTCTCAGTGACCCCTTGCTAAGGGGTCAGTCAGTAATCAGGGCAATCATATGACACTGAGGAATGGGCATCACGGAGGACTGTGCCCATATGTTCAGCTGCAGTCACATTTGCCCCCAACCGCCCACCACACGTCCTCTCACTCCTGAGCTGGCGGGCACTGGGACCGCCCACAGAGCATTCTGCCTTGAGTGCAGTGCAGGCCCAGGACAGACAGACAGACCAGTGGGCGCTGACTGGGCCTGGAGAGGAGTCAGCAAAGGGGGAAGGGTGCCAGAGGGGGGCTGTGAACACTGATTATTAACTTGATAGGGTTAGGCAGGAGACCAGCCTCTGCGCTAACACCCTCAGCTTCCTGACTGCAGAGGCCTCCCATCCCTCACCAGCAGCTCCCGCTGTGGACTGTGAGCCGGGAGCAGCCCTTGCTGCTTTGTCAGGGGACTTCTCCTCAGCAGAGTGGGAAGTAGCTAACACGGGGCCGGCTGCCCCACGGCCCTGGGCTGGCTCCACACAGCTGGGCATGGAGCACGGCAGAGGACGGCAAGAGCACCTGGGCAGAGGATGCGGATGTGGACCTCACGGAAGGCCCCGGTAGGCCCTGCAAGCAGCAGGAAGCAGCACTGGGTGAAGCTGGGAAGAGCAATGGCTCACTTGGCAGGGAGAGAGTCCAAGCAGCCCTGACCTGCAGGGTGCACGCTTAGCATGCTTGACCTAACCTGCGCCAGAGCCTAAGGGAAACACATGCCCTGCAGGGGACAGGCGGGCTACCCAGTGTCCAGGCCAGCACGAGAGCAGCAGTGACAAGCACAGAACCACATGACAATTTTCCTGCAGCCCAATTTTCAAACAGGCTGGGACAATTCTCCAAATACCTTCCAGGCATTCCATAAGGGCTAGGTTATGAATCAGGAGACAATCCTCTTCCGGGGTGTTAGGCTACAAGTGGGGAGTGGTCCACTTACAGTCCACAGCTGTGCTTCCTAAGGGTCAGAGCCACCATGACCCTGCAGTCTCTCCTAACTTGAAGATAGCCATCTAAAAATAGCACAGCACTGCAATCCACTTGTTAGGAATCTAGCAGGACAACTGTCTTAGTCACTGTTCTATTACTGTGAAGAGACACCATGGCAGCTTACAAAGCAGAGTGTTTAACAGGGAGTTTGTTCGGTTTCGGAGGGTGAGCGCATGACCGTCATGGTAGGGAGCGAGCGCGCAGGCAGGCGCTGGAGCAGTAGCTAAGGGTATCCTGACCCACAAACCCAAAACAGAGAGTCTGGGCCCCTGTGGGCTTCAGAAACCTCAAACCCCAGTGACACACCTCCTCCAACAAGGCCACACCTCCTAATCCTTCCCGAAAATTCGCACCTACTGCAGACCAAGTATTCAACTGTGTGAGCCTATGGGGCCGTTCTCATTCACACCACCACAGGGATACAGGTGAGCAGGGCGTTTACCTTCAAGTGTGCCTGTGCACCGCGCAGGCGCATGCCTGGTGTCCCCAACGGTCACAAGAGGATGAGGGATCCCGTGGGACTGTGAGCGGGGGAACCGGTTAGGATCCTCTACAAAAGCAGCCAGGGCTGTGAACTCAAGCCCCCTCTCCAGCCCTGGGCTTGCATCATTAAAGAGCATTATAGTTTTGCAACTTTTCGTTAAAAACAGTGAGCTGCTGCGTTTAGGTTTTCCTCTTTATTTTTTAGGAAGAAGTTACATCCCCGACAAGTAAGACAAAATGAACGCAGAGTCCTGGAATCTTTGGTTTGAGTAGGTGGGTAACAGTGACCCCCCCACAGCACAGAAGTCTCTTGTCACGGTGACCTGGCTGTGTTAGGAGTGATCTCCTTTGCATTTCACAACTCTAACATCCAATGGTGTCACATACATAAAACAAATGAATATTTAGATTACAGAAAGATGTACTACAGGGTTCCTCTCCCCAGTGAGCTCCTCCAGCACATCAAGACATAACATAACTCACAACGTCATATGTATTTTTATTCAAGTACCTGTTAGTGCACCACACAAATAACAGAGTGTTGCTACCTTGGGGCTCCAAAGTGCTGGAACCTGTACATCAGCATGGATGCTGACCCTCGGTCCTCCTGTCCACAGTGGGCAGGACCAGACAACAGCAAGCACTCAGGATGCCACGTGTGGAGTAGTGTGCTGCTGTAGTCATTGTGGCAATGGTGCCGAGGGTGAACAGACCATGGGGTGGAGGGGAATAGAACAATACGACTGCTTAGCGTCTGCACCTCTACCATGGTCAAGTTTATGGCCAGCCTGGAAGTATCATCTCGTAATTCTGAAAATACAGCATTTGAGGAGGTGCCATTTCCACCCTACAGATGAGAATATTAAGACTTAGACTCCTGGCCGGGCGGTGGTGGCGCACACCTTTAATCCCAGCACTCGGGAGGCAGAGGCAGGCGGATCTCTGTGAGTTCGAGGCCAGGCTGGACCGACAGCCTCCAAAACAGAGAAACCCTGTCTCGTAAAAAAAAAAAAAAAAAAAAAAAAACCACTTAGACTCCTGAACTTAGAAGTAAAAGGATGGTGACTCCTGACTGCAATCCCAGTATTCCAGACGCTACTACAGGGGGACTGCTGCAACATCAAGACCAGCTGCAGCTACAGAGAGTTTCAGGCCAACTGAGTGACAGACAGATGAAAAAAACGCAGGGAAGTACCTGTCACCAAGCACTACCTGAATTTGACCCACAGGACACACATGGTGGACAGAAAAGTATCGACTGACTCAGTGTCTGTCTCTTTCTGTGTTTGTGTGTGTGTCTTATACACATACTAACATACACACATAAATAAATGTTAAAAGAGAACAAAACAAAATGGAAGTCCGATGGTGGCCCACACCTTTAATCCTAACATTCAGGGAGGCAGAGACAGGTGGGTCTCTGAGTTCTGAGACAGCCAGGGCTACACAAATAAACCATATCTCAAAAACAAAATAAATAAACAAATAAAGGGCTGATTTTTTTGCTGTATCCAAAGTATATCTCTTTGTGTGTGTTTGTATATAAATTTTTAAAACTATTCTATTTATTATGTATACAATCTTCTGCCTGCAGGCCAGCAGAGGGCATCAGAGCTCGTTCAAGGTGGTTGTCAGCCACCGTGTGGTTGCTGGGAATTGAACTCAGGACCTTTGGAAGGACAGTCAGTGCTCTTAACCGCTGAGCCATCTGTCCAACCCCCCTATAAATTTTACCTCTACAAAGAGTAGAGCCACATAGCTTTCAACTGGACTCAGAACTGTTAGTTTTTGCTACATTTGCTTTTGTTCTGTACACACAGGCAGGCACATATTCACATCCAGGCTCTATGGCTAGGCCTTCTGAGGTTACTATGGCAAAGTTCAGTATACAGAAAGGGCTCCCTCATAACTCAGATGCACTGGGAAATTCAGCACTGGCACAAATTCACTGTTCGACACAGCTGTGCAGTATGTTTTGGCCCTCCCCTCCTCTTAAACACTTCCATTGCCTTGACTTTTAAAACTGCATTTGAAATTGTGTGCATACACTTGTATCTTGAGTGGATATGAGCGTGTGAGCGCAGGTGCAACCCAAGACCAGAGGTGTCAGACTCCCTGGAGTGGGAGTCCTGACAGGGTGGGTGCTGGGGAGCCGATCTGAATCCTCTCAGAGGTTAAGTGCCTGCTCCTAACGCCTGGCCCATCTCTCCGGCCCTTTACCTCTTCCGAGGCAGGATCATATGGATCCCAGGCTTGTATCAGACTTGGTATGCAGCAGATGATGGCCATGAACTTGTGACCCTCCTACCTCTAACTCCTGCGTGGTCAGACTACAGGCACCACCAGCACCACCACCACGACTGGTGGTTTTGGCAGCGCCAAGGACTGAACCCTGAGCCTGGTGCACGCTGGGAACTATTTTACAATCGCAGCTACTTCCCCAGGCCGTTTTTTTTATTCCCCTAAAGAATATGCCAATGGTTTGACGGTGTCCCTCAACCGGGTGAGTCAGGGCAAACTGTTGCTTTTATACACGGATGAAATATTGTGGCAGGGATCTAGCATGAGCTACTCTTTCTCGGTGCATCTTGCCACAGCACGGAGTGCAGAGCGGCTTTTACACCGTGTGCCGGCACCTCGGTGGTGTCTGGGCTTTTGTCATTTTTTGGGGGGGTGAGGGGGAGTCTTTGAATGCTGACGGACAGGAAACCAGAAGCAGCTCTTTCCCTTGGTGCGGTGAGGGTGGGAATGGGGGTGTGTCACCGGGATCTTTGTAACTACCGGGACCCCCGTTTTCAGCATGCACTTAAGATGTTGGCCGGCGCTGTGTCCCTTGTCAGCACCGACACCGCAGACTGTGTGCAGACGCAGGCCGTGCGGTGACTCTGGGGTGACGGCGGCTCCTGTTGGGGCGAGCGCTCCGGAAGCGGAGTGCGCATCGCGGGGTGGCACCGCGTCCAAAGCTCTTCTGCAGCCTCGACAGGAGCGAGGGCCGCCTGTCACCTGCTCCCCGTCCATCGGGCCTGGGCCTCGCCCGCCCGCCCGTCACCGCAGCCGCGGGAGCCCGAAGCCCGCCACTTACCCCGGCGTGATACACTTTATTCGCCCTCTTGATCTTGATGTCCAGGGAGGTCCCCATCTCGGAGCATCCGCACGGGCCGCAACTTCCGGCCCCTCGTGACCCGGCCCGCGGCCCCGCCCGTCTCCCGCTGGGTCCCTCGCGGAGCCACGTGACCAGCGTGCCTCCCTCTCTCCCTCCCTCTCCTTCCGGCCCAGGGGCGGGGAGGAGGGGGAGAGGAGAGCGCGCGCACACTTCCGGAAGGCTGCAGGGAGCTCGCGGGTCTCCCGGCGTGCACCGCGGCGAGGCGGGGGCGAGGCGGCGCTCTCCCGTCAGGCTGTGCGCGGAGGTGGGTTTCCGGAAGCGACGGCAGAAACGTGTCCCCCCGCCTCAGTCCTCCCCCCCTCCCGTCATCGGCTTCCTCCTTCCCCGCAGCGGCGCCCGCGCCCGGGTCCTCCCAGCCCTCGGGGCCGACTCGGGCTATCCGCAGGGGCGTGGCCCCGCGCTAGCGGCCTGACGGCTCACTGATTGGCGGAGGCCGCAGGCCACGCCCTCAAACCACGCCCCCTCAGGCGGCGCCCGGCCAAGGTCTCGGGCAGCGCGGGTCACCCGCCGCGGGGCTCGCGGCCGCGAGGGCTTCTGGGTCTTCCGGGCCGGAGCCGGAAATGCGGGAGGACTTCCGCCGGCCGGCGTTTGGGTCCGAAACTGCGTCCGCTCTTGAGTGTGTGTGTGAGCCCGGGACTCTCTCGGGACGTGGACGGCCGGGTCCGAACGCGGGGATAGACGAGGCCCCCGAGGAAGCGCTGCTCGCCGGCCGCTGCCGAGACGTCGCCGGGCCTTCCGGGTTGAGCTCCGTGCCCCGCCCCCCGGCGCCGCCCCCCGCCATCCGGGCTTTTCCTGGCGGTTCTAAAGCGAGGCCTGTGTGCAAATCCGGAAGTGGGTCTCGCGCTCCCGAGTCCCCACCGCCGCCGTCTCCAGTTTGTGCGGGGCGGGGGTGAATAATTCTGTCCGTGCAAAGAAATAGAGGCAGAGGAGCGCGCTCTCCGTGCGTCCGCGCTGCAGGCTTGCTCAGTGCCGCCCGCCCTTGGCAGTGACACGAGGTGAGCCGTCCCCCCCCCCCCCACCCCCGTCAGTTTCAGGTACAGAGTGGCAGACGACGCCCGAGAGACCCCGGGGCCTTTGGAGGAGCCGTCAAGTCCGTCCGTTGCGGGTTCAGGCCCGGAAGCAAGAAGAGGAAGCAGGCAGGCATCGTGGCAGCCGCGACCCCCAGGGTCGATCCCCGCCCGCCGCTCTTCCCGCATGGTTTGCGGGAGTCTGAACCCCTTCCTAAAGAACAGACGGGAAGGGGGGTCCGGCGGGTTCTCTTGAGCCAGTGAGAGCTCAGCGAGTAAGGACGCCTGTCACCACACCTGATGACAGCCCGGGTTCCATTCCTGGCGAAAGGAGAGAACCGAGTCCCATTAGTTGTCTCTGACCTCCGCGTATGCGCTCAGGCTCACACACACACTGAATAAAAGTTTGTTTTTTCAAAAAATGCACATCTGGCAGCAGAGGATACGGTCTTGTAACCATTCTACGCATTCATTCCTGTTTGATCTTGTTTTCTGTTGAAACATGAGAGTAAGCTAGTGTGGTGATGGAAACACTCTCTTGCCAACGGGCAGTGCAGATGCCTATGAAGGTCACCCTCCCATCCTGGGTCACTTCCTGCCACTGAATCACAAGGCCCCAGCCTCCCTGTGTTCCTTCCCGGGCCTTCCTGTATAGACCAGGGAGAGGAGGGGGTAGATGTAAAAATCGTTATGTTAAGTACTGGAAAGTGCCTCCGATTCTGGTACGATGGCTTGCCTGCGGGTACGTCTGCATGCCGCCTGTGTGCCTGGTGCTCCTGGAGCCCAAGAGAAGCCAGAGTGACAGACAGTTGTAAGCCAGCGTGTGGTGCTGGGCATGTAACCAGGGTCCTCTACAAGAGCAGCCCGTGCTGCTCTGCTGCCGAGCCTTCTCTCCAGCCCTCGATTTGTTTTGTCACTGCTGTGGTGAAGTACATGGCCCAGGAAGGAGGGGCGTGCTGTGGTTCACCTTTGGGGGTGCAGTCCGTCATGGCAGCAGGGGCCTGGGGCAGCTGGTCAGATCACATCCAGTCAGGAAGCAGAGGAAGAGGGCACTGGCACCCAGCCCGTGTAATATATTAATATATTGTGCTGTGTACACACACTCGGGTAAACCTCACCTCAGTCAGGCCAGAAAGCCCCTCAGACTTGCTCAGAAGTTCATCTCCAAAGTAGGTCTGGAGTCCAGCCACGTTTACCACATCAGCCATTACGCTCTCTTCCAGTTCTTAGCTTCCTGGGAACTGTGGGATGGCAGCAGCTGTCCCAAGGGGCATTTTTAACCAGGTTCTCTCCTTTGGGTCCTCCGTAAGGACTGAGGGCACGGCTTCCCAAGCTTCTAATTTAGTCTCACCATCTCTACCATGTCACTCCTCAAAACTTGCCTGTGACAGACCTGAACTTTCCCCAAGGTCACGTTTCCTTTCCAAAGAACCTATGTCTGATGGCTAAGCACTTCCTGTTTCCCCAGATCAGGACAACGCTGAAGGATTGCTCAGGAAAGCTCCCTCTATCCCAGTGTGGAATAATCAAGTTAGTAGCTTGAAACAACAAACATTCGTAATATTTAAGTACACGCAGGTCAAGTACAACTCAGTGGCTTACCCATGGTCTCCAGTGATTTGGGTCAAGATGGTGGACAGGGCTACAAACTTTCGTCATAGGAACGTCATAGTCTTCTCACCCATGGAAGGGACTAACAGACAAAATGAAAACACTTAGTACTTTCCTAAGGGTTGTAAGTCTGGCAGCCACCCCTCCCAACTACAGACACGAAGGAGGTCACGGCTGATCACTGCTTCCTTTGTGCTCAGTGTATCTGCATGGATAAAGGGCTGTCAATCAAATATGAAAGCAAGCCGGTGTGTGTGTGTTCACGTGCGTGTGCACTATCATAGTCAACAGAGAGTGGGGTACTGTTAACTGATAATGAAGACAGGACATCACACCATAAACACGACACAGCAGCACAGTGTGGTCGTTTACTAAGACTGCCCTGACGAGGACCACAAACTGCACAGCTTAAACAACAGAAATGTATCCTGTCATATTTATGCAGACCACAAACTTAAAGTCAGGCGTCAACAAGGTTGGTTGTCTCCGAGGACTGTGGGGGATTTAACCAGGCCTTTGTTAGCTGTCTGCCTGGGACTCCACGTGTTTGCTCAGTGCACCCTTCCTGTAGATAGTCTGTCCCTACACTTGCCTCTTTGTAAATGCCACAGCCCCTCCTATTAAGCCTACACCAGTGACCTCTTTTTAACTTAGAGATCTCTATGAAGATCTTATTTCCAAATACAGTAACATTCTGAAGCCCTAGGGGTTAGCGATTGGAGTGGGCAGGGACACAATTCAGCTTAAAATGTGTAGCAATAAGATATATGTAACAGAAATATAAAGGTAAATGGACTAAGACAATTGGTTGATTTTAACACTCAATTTTCCATGGAGGATTAAAAGTGAAGGCATTAAGAGCTATAATGGATAGAGTAAGACATGCAACAAATAAACAAGACAGCCTCACTTACTTGGTGAGCTCCACTCCAGTGAGGAATCCCATCTCTAGAGAGAAAAAGCCCATCGGAGGCTGCTCACACCTTTAATCCCAGCACTGGGAAGCAGAGGCAGGCGGATCTCGGTGAGTTCAAGACCAGCCTGGTCTACAGAGTGAGTTCCAGGACAGCCTCCAAAACAATACAGAGAAACCCTGTTTTGGAAAATAAAAAAAGTGAGCCCAGATACACAGCACCTGACCTCCAGCATCAGCATTTGCACAAACACATGCAAACAAAAATACCGATCACTGCTGAACATGGGGTGGGGACTTCTGTACATACTAGAATTCTCTCGAAGGAGATAAGTCACCTGGTCAGGTAACATTTTTTTTTCAATATAAGCCTAAAGTACTCTTAGTTCTTATTCTTTCTAGGTTCTTCCCAACTCTCAAACAGACTTTACCTTAGATCACAGACTGTGTGATAAACAAGGTTTCCTTCCAAATATTAAAAATGCCAGGTCTAAAGGAAGGAATATGGAAAGAGGAGAGAGAGAGGAAGTCCTGGGGTCTGGTCTCTGGGCAGTCCCTGTGGAGTCCGTGACCCACCTGGGGATGGAGAAGGGCAGGGCTACAGAAACCCTGACCAGACAGATCCCTGAGAGGCTGAGGGAGGGATCTGCAAGGGTGAGCTGTGGGCTGACTGGCCTAATGCCGGGCTCAGCCTAGAACAAACCATCCTTGTAGATTGCTGTGGTCCAGCACTGCTGAGCATGGCCATGGTCAGATACCAGCAAGCATGGCCTTTTAAACACTGCCTCTTTCTCTAGCCCAGGTGAAGATGTCAGAAGGTGAGTACGCCGGGTGTGAAGAGGGACTTATAATACGCCATCGAGGGGCCGGGCGGTGGTGGCGCACACCTTTAATCCCAGCACTTGGGAGGCAGAGGCAGGCAGATCTCTGTGAGTTTGAGGCCAGCCTGGTTTACAAGAGCTAGTTCCAGGATGGCCTCCAAAGCTGTCTGGAAAAAAACAAACAAACAAAAAACCCAATAGGCCTTTCCACTAGTTACAGCAATAAGCAGTCAGGAAAGACAAGGAGTACATTCTCAATAGCAATAAAAACACGAACCATTTGCAGTAGTTGGAACTTGCTATGTGCTAGAGCCACATGAACAAGGTCACAATGCTGACTTCAGCCGCATCACATGGAGAGAGACAGGGTTTCTGAATAGCATAAATGTCCAGTTATATTAACGCCTCTGAATGCCACAATACAATTGAACGAGAAAATTTAATGAAGTTATTTTAAAATTCCTTCTGGAAAAAACTGTTCTTGAATAATGTCTTTTTTTTTTTTCTTGAGTTGACGAACTGGGCATAGTGTTGCAAGCCTATATATTTGGAAAGCCAAGAAAGGAGAATTGTGAATTTGAAGGTAACCTTGACTACATATCAAAATGCTATCCCAGAATTTTAAAAAGAGATTAATAAGAATTAGAGCAAGGAACTGGAGAGATGGCTCAGCAGCTAAGAGCACTGGCTGCTCTTCCAGAGGGCCCGAGTTCAAATCCCAGCACCCACACGGTGGCTCACAAAGCATTTATAATGGGATCTGGTGC